CCGAAGCGAAGGGCAGCCAGGAGCCTGCGTGGCCCTGCCCGAACGGCTGCCCGAATCGGGACCGTCCTCTCAGGCAGGAAGGGGTCCCTGTCGGGCGTTCTTCTGTCCTGCGTGGGGCCAAGGGATCCAGGGTGATGGCAAGCATGGGTGGATCTGGAAGGGAAACCCCCCTCCCCCAGGGCGTGGGGTGGAGGCCCGCTTTCAAGGACAAGCCCCCCCCTTCTCCAGCCCTTCTCCCGAGGCTCCCTTCTGGCTCAGCTGTGGGTCGGGTGGTGGCCGAAGGAAGCCACGCTGCGCCCGCTTGCCTCTGGTCACCCACCTGGACACGCTGACCGGAGGGAGTGGGGCCTGCATGGGGCTGCCCACCGCCTCTCACCCCCTCTGTCCCCTCCCCCAGGTTCCACCATCTTGGGCCACGAGGACGACCTGGCCGTGTCCCTGCAGTTCATGAACGTGGGCGGCCGCAGCAGCCCCTCTTCGTCCGCAGAGAGCAAGCTGGACGCCCTGAAGACCAACTTCATTGAGAACCCTCAGTACTTCTGCAACACCAGTGAGTCTGGCCAGGGCAGTCGGGAGGAGGAGGAGGAGGAGTCGCGCTGGGCAGGGCAGGGCAGGGCACGGCTGAGCAGAACGCCGTCCCCCCCACCCCGAGGGCCCTCAATTCTCCCCCCACCCCGCTGGCCCCGAGCGTCCTCACTTTCTGTGGCCAAGCCAGCCCTCGCCCTGGCGCCTGGAGGCCAAGTGGGAGCCAGGCAAAACGTGGGAATAATGAGAACACCCCGTCTGAGTGCTCAGCTTTGTGGCTTCCTTATAAATGTGAACAGCCGTTCTCCGCTGCCACCAAAGGTCAGCCCCACATCGAGCCCATTGCAGCAGTCTAACTGTGGAGGTCCCTAAGGGCACAGACTACCCCGCCCCCCCACCACCGAGGAGGGCCAGGGCCTCCCCTACCCGCACCCCCTGCCCTCCCTGGGCACGTTGTTCATGACCTGCTGGAGCAGCAGCAGCACCAGGCGCCCCCCCCCCGGTCGGTGAGTGGCCTGAGAGAGCGCAGGAGCCCATCAGCCATGGGGAGCTGGGG